GAGGCTGCACACTTTCTTGCTTACTTTTTATTTATTCGTTTATTTATGTTTGTTTGTTTTGAGGCAGGGTCTCTTGCACCCCATGCTGGTCTATGTAATCAAGGATGACCCTGAACTTCTGGTTCTCCTGCCTCTACCTGCTAAGGGCTGGGGTTACCGGCATTTGCAACCATGACCAAGTTGCAAGGTACTAGGGATCAAACCCAGAGCTTCTTGCATGCTAAGTCAGCACTTTCCTAGCTAAGCGACACCTCCAGCCAGCCTCAAGGCTGCGTATTAAAGCGGCAGCCATCCTCACACCTCAGCCACCTAAATCAGCTGTCAAGTACAGATTACAGCGTTCACTCAGCCTGTAGACTTCCAGATTCGATGTGCCAGGGCGGGACTTGAGAATCTGCATTTTGACAAGGTTCTCAGCCGAAGTTGCTGTTGCCCACGGTGGAACCCAGCACCACGATAAAGCACCCAGGCTCTTAAATTTACATGTGGTTTTAGGGAGCTCGCTTTAGCCTTTCTACTCATGTAATGGAATCGGGGAGCCAATGCTTTGGCTTCTGCTTGGTTTTTATCTTTTTGTCTTTGCAAAGATACTGTAACAGTTTTTTCTGCCTTTCAGATATCAGCTACTCCACAAGAAAATAGAAGCATATATTAGTCTTCTTGCAGAAACAGTAATAACAAACCTAACATTTCTTAAAATTTAGTGTGTGTGTGTGTGTGTGTGTGTGTGTGTGTGTGTGTGTGTGTGATAGGGGGCACATGCCAAAACAATCATGTGGAGCTAAAAGGACAGCTGTATGGAGTCAGTCCTCTCCCTCCATCTTTATATGGGTTCCAGAATTTACCTTAGATCATCAGACTTCTACAGCAAGCACCCTTACCCATGGAGCCACCTCGTGGGCCCCAAACATTTATTGAAAACTTCCATTAAGTAAAATCTGATTTGATTTCCACCGAAACCTCATCCTGTGCTTCAGAGAAGTTATGTGCTTTAGTCAGATTCACACAGCCAGAGAAAAAGACGGAACCTGGACTCCAACTCTGGTTTTCTGTCCCAGTCCAAATACTGGTGTCTTCATTGTATCCTCGGCTAGTATAGACGACTTTTTTTCTGTTACCATGCATCTCAGCAGTTTTTAGTGAAGAAATTGATTTCTGACAGTTTGAAAGGTATGCAGTTTTATTACCCTGAATCCCAGGAGCAGGCCACAGACAGCAGGTGGAAGTTTTTGTTGTTTTGTTTGAAAGCATTTGCCACCAGGGCATGTATGCTGAATTTCAACCAATAAAGCATGCCTTGCTCTTCAACTGGGATGATCCTTGCCCTCTGGGACTGTATAAGAGTTCGAATGTTTAAAAAAATAAACATAGATGCAGATTCAATCAGTGATTGCTGAAAAGCGGTTGGAAGCTGAATTCTATCGAGGGAAAGCAAGGAGAGGCAGCCAAGAATGGGAAATTCACAGGAGTGTTAGAAACAGCAGCACTGGCTTTCTTGGCAGCAGGATGGAGAGCCAAGGAGACACTTTCGCTCTCTGCCATTAGGGAATTGTTGTCTTGCTGGGAGGAGCACTGTAGGGCTGACAGGCGGGAGGAGGGTGGAGAGCACAGCTGCTGGAAACAGACAAACTTGGCTTCGGATTGGCTTGTCTGTCCGTTGGTTGTGAGTGTGTGTGTGTGTGTGTGTGTGTGTGTGTGTGTGTGTGTGTGTCTATCCGCTTACTGGACAACCTCAAGCACATCACCAACCTCCCTGACAGCAGCCATCTCTCTGCGGCTCTCCTGATGACATCACATGCCATCCAAAGGCCCTGCCTGCTGCCTTTATGGAAACTGAGAGACTGCTTCTTTCTCTCTGAGCCCCGAGAGCAAGTATGTGGGCAGGTGTAGACACTCACAGCATTCTAGCTAGTTTTAACTGTCAACTTGACTCAAGCCAGAGTTCCCTGAGAAGTGAATCTCAATTGAAGGACTGGCCAGATCAGACTGGCCAGTGGGAATGTCTGTGGGGGACCGGTGGGTTGTTAATTGTAGGAGGAACCAGACCACTGTGGGTGGTACCATCCCCTATGCAGGTGCTCCAAGGCTGTATAAGAAAGTAGCCAAGCATGGGTCCAGAAGTGAGCCAGTGAGCAGTGCTCCTCCATGGGTTCTTTCTTTTGTATTAGTTCTTTGAGAGTTTCATAAACGTTTTGATCATATTCACCACCACCCCCAACTCTTCCCAGACCCACCCCCTTCACTACCTACCCAATTTTGTGTCAAAAAACAAAAATAAAACAACAACAACAACAACAAAAGCCCTTCAAGACCAATTTGTGCTGACCAAATACTCTTGGAGAGTGGTCTTCTACCAAATTGCAGCTGATTTACCAAGGGCTACATTCTTAGACAAAATGACCCCTTCCTTTCCCAGCAGCTTATAATTGCCAATTGCTCCCCAGCCAGGGATGCCTAGCTCTGCCCTCCATGTGGGATTTGGTCTGGCTGTGGACAGGGTTTGTGCATGCAATCACAAGCACCATGTGTTCATATGTGCAGCTGCCCTGCTGTCCAGAACACACCCTTTCCTTATGGTCGTCCTCCATGATCTCAGCTTCAGGTTCCTGCTGTCGCCTCCCTTGGTCATGGACTGTAACCTGGGAACTGAAACAAGCCCTTCCCTCCTTTATGTTGCTTTTGGCCAGAGTGGTTTTTTTTTTTTTTTTTTTTTTTTTTTTTAAATCACAGCAACAGAATGAAACTAGAACACACAGGTTTCCATTTCCTAATCATATCTTATTTTGGATTGCCTGAACTAAGAACCAGAGAGATGCATTTTGGGAGTTCTGTTTGGAACTGGTTTCTTGGGACGAAGTAGGGAAACTAAGACACACAATGAGAAGCTATTGTGGGGATTTGTTAAGGCAACTCCATATAGTTAAAAAGGAGGTTTATTCGGGGGTAACTTACAGCCAGTAGAAGGGTTGGTTACAGGATCCGGGAGAGGTGGAGTGCAGTCCAGTGGTGTTCTCTGGAGAACTGTACTCGGTCTACCATCCAGCATCCAGGATCACAAGGAAAAAAGACAGCTGGCACATCTGGATTTCAGGTCTTAAGGGCTCCTGTCTTGGGCCTGCCCCAGGGGCAAGTCATAGGTAGGTGTGACAGTTACCAGAAGCCTCACTAGGGGTACTACTTCCAAGTCAAAGCTGGAACAGCTACCCACTACAAGGAGCACAAATCAAGACTGTATGACTGAGCTGCTCACAACCTGGGTACTGAGGTTTCGCCTTGTTGGGGAACCATGGAAGATTGGCACATAATGATTATCACAGTTGTCCCTTAAAAATCTACAGCTGGGGCAATTCTCAGAAAAATGAAAATATATGGCTACACAAAAGCTTATACATGAATATTCATAGCGACACAAGCCACGAGAGTCAAATGACGGAAACAGCTCCAGTGTCTTTCAACAGATGAATCAATAAGTAAGCTTTGGCGTATCTATACAAAAGGAGTATTAATCAGTCATAAAACAGAATGAAGCACTGATGCATGCTGCAAACAGGTAAACTGTAAAGATATTAGTGACATAACCCGGTCACAAAGAAGAAATATTCTATGCTTCCATTTCTATGAGATATCCTTTTTAATTTCTGGACATCAGTGTAGCCGGGCATCACATGATCAAGTCAGATGCAACAGTACTTTCAATGCAGAGGCAACCTCCATAAGTGAACTCCATACAGGAGAGCTATGGCACATGTTCCTGAACAGAGAGAGCTCCCCGGGAACCTGACCCAGCTCTCAGCTGCACATCCGTCCTGTTCACACCTCTTCCTGACTACTGGAAACCCACTGCCACCTGTCCTTGGTTCTTGGATAGTTAATCCCGTATGTGAATTTGACTGGTTTCTCAGAGTAAATACTGTTCCAGGGGTTGTCCATGGAATGTTTCTGGATGAGCTCGGCATTCAAATCAGAGGGCTCGGAGAAAGATATGCCCTTAGTGTCAAGGAGCATCATCCAGTCCACTGAAGGCTTGAGCAGAACAGAAGGCAGAGCTGGGGGGAATCTGTCCCTAATTTTTCTCTCACCCTGCTTGAGATGGGGCATCCCACTTCTCTTATAACCTTTATTTTTTTTCTTTAATCTGTGTGTGTGTGTGTGTGTGTGTGTGTGTGTGTGTGTGTGTGTTCACGTGTGAGTGCAGGTGCATGCATGCTCTGGTGCATGTGTAGATGGCAGAGACATCCACAGGTTCCAGTCTTCACTGTTCACCTTACTTGTTCCCTGATATATATGCCAGGCCAGCAGGCTCACAGATTTCTGGGGATTCTCCTGTCTCCATCTCCCATCTCCCCATAGGAGTGCTGAGGTTACAGACTGGCATTACCATGTCTGACTTTGTGTGGGTTCTGCGGATCCACACTCAGGTCCTCATGCTTGCCTGGCAAGTGCTTTGCCCACCGAGCCACCCCCCCACCAGTCCTTGGCTTTGTTTTATACCATCAGTCACCCCAGTTCTCAGCTTTGAGGGTTGACTGACTTGTATAGCTGGCTTTCTGGAATCTCTGGCTTGGACATTAGGTCCTGTCACCAGAGCAGAGTGACCCAATTCCTAATGATACATTTCCTTTTTATGTATCATATACATAAAGCATTTATTTTGTTGGTTTTGGGCCTGGGAGACAGAACATCATGGCCTGGAGTCTATGGAAGAGCAAAAGCTGTTCACCTTATGGTGTCCAGGAAACAGAGTGAGAGAGGGTAGGCTGAGATCCCCATATCTCCTACAAGGGCATGACCCTGGTGGTCTAGTTTCCTCTCATCACACCCTGCCTTTTATGGGTTCTGCCACCTCCCAATGGTATCACAAGCCCTTTGGAGGCATTTAAGTCCCAAATTGTAGCCATTATAGAGCATGTGAATCAGATGATCAGTGTATGTTTCTGAGAGGCAAGGGTCAGCCTCACTAGAGCTCACAGGACTATAAAAATCTTCCTATTATTCAAGCTGGGTCCCTGGCTAGGGAGTGGGATCTCTGACATGGGAGATGTCCAGACACAGGCTGAATGACGAAAGTTAATTTTGATAGAAAGTTTATTAAAAGACTAACCCCAGCAGAGTCCCATTCTCTGAACCTAGAAAGGCCTGAAGGGACACACTATAAGAGAGCCCTTGGAGACCCAGAGATGGCACCTTGGGTTTAGGAGCCATGAGATAAGATAGTAGCTGACCCCTAGGACCCTCCACCAATACCAGAGCTCTTTGATTCTGGAGCCGAATATTCATTCTCAGCCAGATAAGTGCCATATCATTTCTGAAAGGACTGGTCAATGTGCCGGAGAACCAGAGGTCAGTGGTAGGCAGTTACGTTTTGATCATGATTGGAACACTGAGGGAAAACATCACAATGCGGAGCACTCAGACCCATTAACAGCAGGAAACGTTGTGAGCCTGGGGAAGAAGCGATACAAGTCATTTCCAGGTTTGCAGAAGTAATGGGCCCCAGCTGCGCATTGGCCTCACCCAGAGGCTGGGTATATAACCACCCCACCCCTCCTTCTGGGACTCCCTGGTTCCCAACCACTCTAGCACTTTGCCGCCAGGGTGTGATTATGGATGGTGAGTAGATGAGGGAGAAGGCAAGAGCAGTGGGAAGCGTATGTGAGGCACTCTGATCTTGCTCTTGGCTTAATAAACACAGGAATCAAGTGCCCCTCCAGTGCTGGGCGGGGCAGAGGAACTGGAGATGTGGCATTCCTTCCTTTAAACTTGCTTTTGCTTGGGATACAGGCCAATCATTCATATCTATGGGGCACAATGTGACTGATGTTTTGATGCAGGCCGACAGGGTTCAATATTTGCCAAGTGAGTGTAGGGCTCTGAGTTTGGATCCCCAGAACCCATGTGCTCCTAAGGGGAGGCGGTGAGTAGAGACAGGAGAATTCCCAGAAGCTAGCAGGCCAGCCAGCCTCGTGTATTCAGAAGCAAACAAACACAGAATCTCAAAAGTGTCTTGTCTTGGAAGGCAGGAATCAACACCTGAGATTGTGTACACACACACACACACACACACACACACACACACACACACACACACACACA